GTTAAATCTCACCCTCTTGGCCTTTCTGGAATTTTCCCTCGTACACTCTAGAAACATGGTCCTTCTGGGGCATGGACACCTGTAAGTATGGGGAGCTTAGGATCTGAACTCTACGGGCCACTTTTCCTCCCACACCTGACACCTCCTTGCAGCTGGACCCACCTGCCCATACTCCAAGGAAGCAGCGTTTATTAATCCTGTCCTTAGCCCCCAGCGCATTGTGAGCCCCCAGCCAACGCTCAGGGATTTATCAGAAGGCATTCCGTGAGCAGCTCTCATGCACAGACACTGGAGATGCAGCGGCACACACACACCAACCCAGGCCCTGCCCTCGCAGAGCTTACGGTCTGATGAAAGAGTGAGACTGCAAGCAATCATTACAACAATAAATGTAAAATTGCTACTAAGACGAGTGCTATAAATGTGAGGTACATGGGGCCATGATAGGCCATAATAGGGAGTTCAACCTAATCTGGGAGGGCTTCCCTGAAGAGGTGATGCTAAAGCTAAAAGATGAGGAGGAGGCCTACGAGAGGAGTGGAATGCATGGTCAGGGCAGAGGGGGCAACATGAGGATAGCATCATGTTAGGCTAAACATGGTAAATAGGGGGAGGCAAGATGGTGTCCCCATAGCATCTGGAGGGCAACTTAAGGATTTCTGTCTTTCTCCTAAATACAGTGGGAGTCCCTGAAGGTTTTTCAGGCAGAGGTTGATAGACTCAGATTTATTTGTCAAAAAAGCTCACCCTGGCTGCTGAGGATGAGCTTTTCCTGTGTGTGTATACTTGTCTCTGCCTGGAATGCTCCCCTACTCTCTGTATCAGTCAGGACAGGCTAGGTTATGCTGCAGTAACAAACAACCCCCAAATCTAAGTGGTTTAAAACAACAAAGGCTTAATTATCACTCATGCTCCATGTCCATCATGGGGTACTAAGGGACTCCACTCAGGTAGCAACACGGGGACCCAGGCTAGCAGAAGCAGCCACCACCCCACCTCCTGCCAGTTTCCACACCACAGGAAAAGAGCACTCATGAGGGTCTCACACCAGCAACTAGATGCTTTGGCCCAGAAGTGGCATGTGTCACTGTAGTTCACAACTCACTGGCCAGTCACACAGCCCCACCCAACACAAGGGGACATAGATCCAATCCTACATGTGCTTGGATGAACTGGAAATATTTAGGGGGTGGCATTAAGGACCACCAGACACTCTCCCACTCCATCTTGCCCTTCCCCAGCCTTAACTCATTCATTAGGTCACAACTGTTTCAGTATTCCAGAAGGAGGGACCAGCATGTGCAGGTGAGAATACGGAGTACAGAGGGATCTAGAGTAGGTGGGAGATGAGGCCAAGGAAAGGGTAGGGGCCAGATTACTCAGAGGCTTCTAGATTATGGTAACAATTTGGTTCTTTATCCCAAAAGCACTGGGAAGACTTCTCAGTGCTTTACACAAAAATGGGGAGCTTGCTGTGATCTTCTTTGGAACAGATCACTCTTACTGCCATCCTGAGACTGGCGTGGAGGGGAGGTCACAGGTGGACAGTTGGGAGGCTAGTGCTGTTGTCCTGGGGATAGACAGTGGTGGCTTGACCAAGACACTGGGGAAGAGAAGACGGAGAGGAGTGTACGGATTCAATTTATAGGTTAAAATTCCCTAGATCTGGAGACATAGTGGATTGCAGTGAGGGAACAGAGACACAAAGGTTTCTGCCTTAACGACTAGCAGAATGGTGGTAGCCGTGGCCAAGACAAGAGCCCTGGAGGAGGTTTAGGGAGGAAGATGATAGGACAGCCTTGGAATCCGTGTGTTGGTCATAACTGTGAGATGGTCAAGAGAACAGACCGAGGAGGCAGCTGAATAAACAGGAATGACTCCCGACTCCTCGTTCAGTGGTCTTTACTTCCTTCATACTTGCCGATAACTTAGAACCAGGGAAACCTCGCCTCCCCTGCCCCACCCAACTTAAGTCCAGGTGAGGAAAGATTCAGATGATTGTAGTCTTAACTTGACACCAAGGAGAACAAATTTATGAAACACATCAATCCAAAGGGTCTGGAGGACAGAACTGTAACTCAGGTCAGAGTAGTATATAAGTGATGGTTGTGATGGCTGATCAGGGCTCCTGGGACCAGTGAGGGGAGCCCCTCATCTTTGAATATGTCACTAGGAAAGGGAGAGTAGACCCTGCCCCAGTTGCTCCTTGGAGGCCCCGTCAGTTTGGGACTGAATGGACCTAGGTGGGGCTTGTTGGGCCATCCTGATATTCCCAAGAGAGTGCTCTGCAATAATCCCAGGCAGAAAGAACAACACTTCTTTAATCATGTGTGGCCCCCCCCCCCCCCCCCGGGGGTGGCATTTTCTCTGTGCTATCTCATATAATCTCACAGCTGACTGGCCAGGCAGGCTTTGTTAGCCCCACTTTAGGGATGGAGAAGCAAGGCCCAGAGAGGTCAAAAGTATAACCGTGCCAAGTCCAAAGTCTAGTATGAAGGGGAGAAAGGACTCCAGTGGAGAAGCCCCTTTTCATTAAACTAAAGCAACAGCCCTGGGCTCTATTCCCAGACACGTGCCCACACAGAAATCTGCTTGCCCACCTCTCAGAGCGTTGGTGGGTGAAAATCATGCCCCACTCCCCCTGGAAGGAAACACAGCCTGTTACTTTTGCCCCATGGACCTCACAACCCTAACCCCTTCCTTCCTCTCAAGGGGAAATGTGGGCAAAGCCAGATTGGGTGCCAGAGGCACCATGCTTCATGGAAAATTCTTTTGCCCCAGCACAGATAAAATCCCCATTTTATAGGGTTTCCAGGCATGGAGAGCAATCTCTCATTATTGCCTCCTGTCCCCCACGGACAAAGAACTGGGTGTGTTTCCTTCAACCACTCTAAATTATATACCACAGCCTTTCTCCACATGAAGCAAACGTCTAAGAAGAGAGGTTTAACATTCTTCTCCCTGAAGTCCCAGCCCACCCCTGGGATCTTAAGCCCCTATCGCCCAACCCCATACAAAAAACAAGCAACTTTTCCGCCAGCACTGCTCAGCGCTCGAGACATTTGTGTTCTCCTTGCAGTCACTTGCTTAGGGCGTGCTGGCCTTGACCGGAGAAAGGTCATCGGCCGCTAAGTGCCTGCAGAGCAGAGCACCTTGGGGATTGCGAGTGGGGGATGGAGACTACACTCCGGACATTTCCCTAAGAGTCTACACCGCAACTAAGATGGAAAATGTATTAAAGAAACAGCCCCCGGCGCGGCCACGTTTAGCGAGAAATCGTGCGGCGCGTGGGAAGAGGCCCCACTGCACCCCGGCAGGACCCTGACCCCCAAATCGGCCCCCGGGCGCCGAGGCCAAAGTGCCCCCGAGAACTAGGCCAGCAGCTGCGGCGAGCACTCCAGCCTTCGGCGCCCCGCCCCGCCCCGCCCCGCCCCGCCCCGCCCGTGTCACCGCGTTCTCATTCCGAAAGCTCGGCCCGAACGGCCGCTCCCATTGGTCGGCGGCCACGTCCGTCAGCGGGCGGCACGTCGGCGCAGAGAAAAGGCTACATTGTAACAAGGCGAGCGAGCCAGGAGCTAGCGGGGAGGAAGGAGGCGGAGGGGCGGCCCCCGAATCCCACGGCGGCGGCGGCGGCGGCGGGAGCGGCAGCACCTACCTGCCGAGGGTTAACCCACCTCGGGGCCGGGGCGAGCCGCCCCCCCCCGCCCGCGCCCGCGCCTTGTTCCTAGCAGCACAGTTCACATGAGCTGAGACTGTGCTTATTAGTCCATGTGGTGACGATGACCCAGCCTGAAAACGAAGGGGTCCTGACACAGGCTGCCTAATGGAGGGACATGCTGAGTGACATGGGCCAGTCACAGAAGGACAAATCGTGTGCCCGGGAATGCTGCGGCAGCCGCGGGGCCCGAGCGGCGCGGGCGGCCCGGCGGGCGGCCCGGCGGAGGCGGCGCGGCCCGGGCTGGCGGCCCCCGCGGCGGGAGCGGCCGCGCTGCGGGCGCGCTGGTCCCCGGCGAGGCAAAGTTTCAGCGCCAGCCTCGGCGCGGCGGCGGCGGCGACTCGCTGCTCCTCTCCTCCCGTGCTTTGACCACCATCTTATTAGTACAGGAAATGACATGGAAAACGGAAGAAAGCGGCGTTTGGGGCAGACGCGGACCCCCCAATTCAGGGGCCGGAGCCGGGACTCACCAGCCGCGTCCCAACCCGGCCCCGGAGAAAACTCCCGGGGCCCCCTCGGCCCCCGCCCCGCGCCCTGCCCGGAGGGGGGAACCTAGCTTCTCGAACCCAAAAGGAGAGGGCGACTTTTATAAACCAGCCCGCGGAGAAATGTAGAAAAAAAAATAATAAATGAAAAAAGAAAAGGTTAAAAGAACTTTCGAGCTGGGACACTTTTTTTTTTTTTTGGTCGGAATTAAAAGTTCTAGAATTTTAAAAAGTCATTCCTTGGGGGGTGCTCCCTGGCTCCCCGATCCTATTGCTGCCCCTTTTGAACCAGTCTGGGGAATAAATGGCGTTGATGTTTTTAACCCTTTCTTGACTCCGCCGCCCGCAGCTGGCCCCCTGCTGATCCAGTTTAACCCTTTGAATGCCCAGCTGTTTGGAGATTCAAACTAAAGTTGTAAAACAGGGGCATCCCGCTGAAAGCTGAGGGAAAGGGTCTTTGGAGGGGAGAGTTCGTTTAAAATGTTATTTACATGGGGATGCGGTTTTAAAGTCGCGAACCGCACGTGTTCTTCAAATCGAAACTTATCACCGGGATTGAGATTTTGAGAACCCGACGGGCTGGTCCCCGGCTGCCTTGGAAAAGATGTTTAAACTGCGCTCGCCTGCTCGGTTCCTCAATTTCTCCATCTGTGAAATGGGATTTAACATCACAGAGTAACAAGGTAGCAAGGAAAAGATGGGGCGGAATTTTCATAAAGACAAAGTGTTTAAAAGCTTGGAAGTCTTTCTCCTGCGCTTAGAAAACCGACGGGTTAGGATGGAGCAGAGGACACCGCGGGATGGCGTAACCGAGACAACCATTCCCCAAATAACCGTTTTCTTCTGGCGTTGTTGTCTGCGAGTGGCCAAAGTGCGAGATGTCTCCTGTCAGGGGAGGCTGCGCTGCTCTGGCTCTAAAACCGGGGCGTAACCTCCAGTAGAAATTATCCAGGAGGAATTCGACCCCAGGACCGCGGCGGGGCGCCCCCCAGACATCCGTGGAAGCCCTGAAAGGCCTGGCACAGGAGGCCTCCAGTGTGTACCTCCCTGCGATGACCTCCTCTCGGGGATGGAGTTCCCTGTCAATTTCTTTGCTGGCTGGGAGCCTCGACCCCAGATGGTGTCCATGGTCAGACCCCAGGACATGCTCCTAGCCCCTGGAGTCTGGATGTGGGGGCTTGTGGGGGGAAGCACCTCATGCACCGCTTCATTTGTTTCCCTTGACTTTGGCATCACAAACACAGCTTCTTGGAATCCCCTGTCTCTTACTTGCTGTGTGATCTTGAGTAAGTAACTGAGTCTCAGTTTCCTGATCTGCAAAGTGGGGCACACCAGTAACCCACGCTGCTGGCTCTGTGTGAGGAGCCATGAGAGAACTTAAGGAGCGTAGCACCAGATTGCTCACAGTAGATGCTCAAGTAATGGTAATTAACACCATAATTATATGACTCAATATAACTGTCAAAGTTTCCTAGTGTCTGTCTGTTCCATGCCAGGCAGAGTATTGGGTACTGGGGAGTACCAAGATTAGTTAGATCTAGTCCTTCCAGGAGGTCTTGGTCTGGCCAGGAGATGAAGGAACTCATGGCTAACTCAAATTGATTCAATAATTAATGCACACCCGACTGTGCTAAGCTTTATACTGGAGGCCAGGTGCTTGGGCAGGGAGGGGAAAGGACACTGAGGAGGGAGCCATTTGTTCCTTTTGAGAAGTAGGATTCACCAAGGAAATGATGTCAGAGGTGGGCCCTAAGAGGGGGTTTGCAATTTCCACCAGTGCTAGGATGGCATTCCAGGAGGGCAAACGGCACTGGCAAAGACATGGAGGTCTCAAAGTGGCCAGGGTGTGTGACATGTGGCCAGGTGTGACTGGAGTAGAGAGTGGGTGGGGCAGAGGAACCAGAGATGAGGCCAGAAAGCCAAGTGGATAAAGACAGAACATGGTCACAGCCTCCAAAACGCAAAAAGATCTTTAAGAGTAGGAGGTGGTGAGTGAGGCAAAGAGGGAATTTTTCCATGTGGTGCTGGTTTTCTATTTAAATCTCCCCATCCATTTGGCCTGGTCTAGCTTCTCCTTGCCAGGGACAATCGGCCTTCAGGCAGCAACTCTGGAGTGGGGCTGGTCCTCAGGCATTGCAGGCCGGGAATCTTCCGGCATCACACTTGGGGAGCACAGAGACACTGCACGGTTCAGAGGCCCAGGTCTGAGGTCCAGCCTGCCACTCCATGCCGTGAAACCTGGGGCACGTGACTCTGCCTGTCTGGGCTCCAGCTTCTTCCTGTGTGACACAAAGAGTTTGGACCAGGGGTCCTACATTCTGCCCTCAAGAAGCTGTCCTGTAACCACGTAATCAAGACTAGAGCGCAGGAAGGAATCTGGAACAAGGCTGGGAGGGTTGCTGGGAGCCCAAGGCAGCCAAGGGCTGACACAGGTGCTCTGGGTCAGTGGGCAGCAACTGGCCCCAGGGCCTGAAGGTAATCACCATAGGCAAGTGGTCTGGACAAGGCAGGTCTTGTGAGGCTGTGCCTCAGCTGCCCTCTGTGGGCTGAGTTGGGCCTGAAACACGGAAGTAGGGATGGGAGTGGGAGCTCCACACAAATTCTCTGAGAGCAAGTTGGTTGCGGGGAGGGGTGGTACAAAGGGGGTTGAAGTGAGTAGAGCACATGACACACACTTTCAGGGACCTTACCATTTGACTCTCTCAGTAATCCAAGGCAGACCTCATCATCACTATTTTTACAGACAGGGAAACCATGCTCAGAGAGGTTAAGAAACTTGCCCGAGGCCACACAGCTAGTTAGAGGTAGGATAAGATTCAAATCTACATCTGCCTGACTCCATCGTTCAATGCCTTCCACTCTTGGATGTTTCTGGCTTATTGTCCTTCTCCATAATGCAACTTTTCAGCCTAAAGGTTTGTAAAATATATCTCCCTGGTTTCTCGCTTGGGCATATCACACAATAGGAGCTGACCTGAACTTTGTGATGGCAGGTCAGGTGCTTCATGACCACGTCCTACAAAAAATGTGTCAATAATCCCAGTCACTTGCAGGTCCCTGTGAGGATATTTAGTTGCTCTAGGTGAATGAAGCTCAGCTCTTTGGAAGGAAAAGTCAATCTGAGGCCTTTCTCACCTACTAATAATAATGACACCCAGGTAAAACATACAGACAACGAGCTGCAAGTTAAATGCCCCCCAAATTTGCTGTAAAACAAGGACAAGTGTTTATTGCATCAATTAATGACCCTTCCGAAGGCCTTGAGGGAGAAATTTCATTCAGGATTTAGTGCCTGGAAAAAACAAACTAAAAACTAACTGCATTTCCCCCGAGGAACTGGCAAGCATCTCCCTTGCTAATAAGAAGAGCTCCGTAACTGATCAGGTTTCCCTTTTTACACAGGCTGCCAGGAAGCTCAGAACCAAATTCTACCCCCATTCCCAACAACTTTGGCAGTTGCTTCCTGCTCATTCCTCCTTTCCCACTTCTAATCCTACTGACTCAGCTTTGTTTTCTCTGCCATTTATTAAAGATGCCCCCCCTTTTTAATGGCAAGAAATAAATATTTAAAATAAATCCACATTTGGAAGAGTTGCTGAAGGGAGCTGGATTCCATGGGCCTTGTGTTAAGCCAGGCACGGTTCTGTTCTGGTCTTGTCCACTCGCCCAACAGCTGAGGGATTCCTCTCTTGGAAGGAAGGAGGGACTGGCTTAAGACCAAGGGATTCCTCACTCAGCTGCTGACGACGGCTAAGATCAAATGCCCTGCATCAGCTCATCATGGCTATTTTTTGGTTCTACTGACAAACAGCTTGCCTCTCTCCTGGCAACTCCCCAGGAAGCATAGACCACTATCCCCTACCTATCCCCCACAAGATATCCCCCATTTGTCCCTCCTGTTGAGGTTTGGCAGGGAACAGCCTCCTCTTTTCTAAAGAAGCTACTGCCACTTATGGGCTGCTTACCACGTGACCAGCAAGGTGAGGTGATTAGGATGGAGGTTGGGAATAAAGGAGCAACTTCAGAACCTAGGACAGGAAAGGCCTCTCTGAGGAGGTGGCATTTCATGGGAGTCTTGATCAATGGAAAGGAGTCAGCCTCTCCTACAGTGGAGTAGTTGAGTCCCCTCAGCAGGGGACACAGCCCGTGCAAAGGCCCTGAAGCAGGAGCTAGCTGGGCTTGTTGTATGGGGTGGCCCATGGCCAGTGTGCAGAGTATAGTATGGAAGGGGAGACAGGGAAGGAGACGAGAAGGAGAAGGAGAAGGGGTTGAATCTTGGCCATGTTTTTCCTTGGTTTGGTTTTATTTGAACATCAGTGGAAGCTACCGATGATTTATAGCTGGGGAGACTCAGGACCTGACTTATGTTTTCACACAATCACCTTGGCTGCCACGTGGCTACTCACATTGACCTAGTGGCAGGTAAGTGGGTAGGTATGCTCACAAACCTTCTTATTTAACTATCACACCCCCCACCCCCCACCCTATTATGAGGTTGATGTGGACTTGTCTTTTTTCTGGCTGCCCAGCAACTGACTTCCCTTCCAGTGACTGGAGAAATTCCCACCTTCCAAGCCTTGGGGAGAAGCAGGTTGTGCCCTCCCCCATCCCCACTAGAGAATCTGAAAACATCAAAAATTCCCTTTCCCAGTGCTATAGACTGAATGTTTGTGTCCACCCCTGCACCACCCTCCCCCACCCAAATTCATGTGTTGAAACCTAATCCCCAGCATGATAATATTTGGATGAGGCCTTTGGGAGGTGTAATGGTCATGAAGGTGGGGCCCTCATGAATGAGATTAGTGCCCTTACTAAAGAGACTCCAGAGAGCTCACTTAACCCTCCCACCATAGAAGGACACAGAGAGAAGACAGCTGTCCATGAACCAGAAAATTGGTTACCTCCAGACACAATCTGCTGGCATCTTGATCCTGGACTTCCAGCCTCCAGAACCATGAGAGATAATTTTCTGTTTTTTATAAGCTGCCAGTTGGTGGTACTCTGTTATATAGTAGCTCAAAGGTAAGGCACAGATACATGATGGAGACTCAGCCAATTGGATGAGTTCCCCCACCTTTGATTTGGAAGCTAGTGACACGTAGAGGCGTGGACCATGGACAGTCCTTTCTGGTGAGAGTAGGGGTGCAGTACAGTCAGTTCTCAGGGGCAGGAGTGCCTGTAGCTGGATCCAGCAGAGCTGCGGGGCTTGTGGTGCAAAGCTATAGTACCTGTTGGGCAGTATTGGGCAGTGTCCTCACTGCATTGGTTCTGTGGCGTGATCTTGGCTATGGCTCTACTTCTGTGCACCCCACACTTGCTTCTCCAACCTTCCAGAGGGTCATGAGCTACCTGAACTCCTTTCAATATGTTCCTCTTCTGCTTAAATCAGTGTACTAGTTATCAATTGCTACATAACAAATGACCCCAAAACTTAGCACCTAAAGACAATAAACATCTATTCTCTCCCAGTTTCTGAGAATCAAGAATCCTGGGAGCAGCTTACCTGGGTGGTTCTGGATCAGAATCTCTCATGAGGTTACAGTCAAGCTGTCAGCTGGGGCTACAGTCATCTGAAGGCTTGCCAGGGGCTGGTGAATCCACTTCCAAACTCCCTCGCATGTCGGACAACCAATGATCCATTTGCCTGGGACTGAGGGGGTATTCCCAGGATATGGGAATTTCAGCTTTAAAGCCAGGTTGGCTCCAGGCAAACCAGGGTGGGTTGGTCACCCTATTCCTGTGGTTGTTGGAAAGAGGGCTTAGATTCTTGAAGTGGGCATGTCAATAAGACTGTTCGTGGTATGG